ATCCCTCTGTCCTTTTTATTCCACGATTGCTACTGTCAAATCGACCAATCAGCAACTGGCTCGGATTTAACAGCAAATTGGCTCGAAATCGCTACCCGATTGTCAAGTCCCGTCCCAGGTTCGAGCTGGCCACAAAGCTTGTTTGTTTTTGGTTTACTAGCGTTTTTCTCTTTAAAGAAAGCGCTATAATCATAAGTCTACTTACAAAAGTTAGTGCTCGAGTGGCAAATCAGTTAAAAAAATGACTGAAGTCAAAATGCGTATTTTCAAAAATGCACTGAAAAATACATGACTGTGTATCAAAAGTACACTCAAAACATGAAAATGCGCACAAAAATGCGTAAAGTATGCCATTGCGCTGATTGGTGCGTATTTAAATTTGATGTTAAACAGTATTGAATACGCTTCTAAATACGTGAAGCTGCATCGAAAATGCTTGAGTAATCCACCTCTCGTTAGTGCTCACTGTCCCGACTGTCAGAGGAAAATGGGGCATCACTTAAACCTTTTCACACTTCGAACGCTTGCAACGATCAACCATGACCACGTTTTATCGATTTGGTGGATTTTGAAGCACCGTGTTCAAATCTACAATTAACCACTTCATTCGAGCTGTTGAAATGACGTTTACTACCACTCAAGCTTTGAAATAAAACATTATTTTGAGATTTTTTCTTCTAGAACCTCGAGAAAAGTAGCCATAATTTGTGCGTTTCATTAAAAAATAGAAATTATTTGGTCCAGTTTTGTGAAATCGCTGGTAGAAAGTCACGCCAAAACTGCTTGACAAAGTTGTCAATTCAAACAGGCCTGATGTTTTCTGTTTCATCTTGCCCCTTAATATCGCACAGTAGTGGTCCTGGCCGTTCGAGCCAACCTGAGGCCTCCACATGCGCAAGAGAAGCTGTACACTGCAATTAGTGCTGGGTCTAGGATTATCCGAATATTTTGATTTTTAAATTTTACCAAATTTTGGCAATTAACAGATAAACCGTTCCATACGGACACCTAAAGACCAACTATTTGACAAATCTTTGGAACAATAGAAATGTAAACTGTTAGAGGGAGAACAACTTTACGATTTCACTATCCGAATATCCGTCTGAAATCCATATCATAGCGGTAAGCTCCATCGAGGATAATACCATAGAGGTAACTCTAAGACTAGAAGGTCCCGAAATAACGTGCTCAACTTTTTGGCTCAGCTCTGGTACTCTCTTCGGTCCCAAGCTAATCGATTCACCCCTCGAAACATAGGAAAAACCAATAACCCCTCATTTTATCTGTCAAACTTTCATAGCGAATCAAAACAAACATTGGGTAGTACTAGAATTTCGACTAGAATGGGGTACGTTAATCGTTTGCTTGGGACCAATAGGCTAGTCAAGTAGTGAGCCAATTTAAAATCGTTAGTTTCGTATTGATTGTTGATAATACGCCAATCTCGAATTATCCTCGATTTTGCTAAGCCCCATATCGGCAGATTTGAGAAAATCTTGGTTTTTCAAAAGAACTCAGCCAAAACAAAACATGCTCTCAGCGCTCTCACATACACATATGCACGAGCATAAAATTTCGACTCGCTGATCACTGCAGCTGTTCCGATCGCAGATTCCAGAAAGTTGGTTACGGCTTGGTCCCAATCGGGACGTTCTTCCGTGGGTTGCATTACTTTTCATCATCTTCATCACCTTCCTGTCCGGTCGGTTGCGGCAAATAAATTCGGAAAAGTTATACCCATCTTATTCGGAAGGAATGAGCAAGGCAAGAATTTGAAATCCCACAATGCAACATCATATTTTCCCTATTTCATGCTCCATGTTAGCCAAGAAACTTGTTGCCTATTTGGGATGAATATTTCTTCTGATTATGCTGATCTTCTGGATAAACTTCTCGACGAAAGTACTGTGAATTTCTAATTGGAGGATCTCAGAATTCATCGTCGGAAGTTCGTTCTCTTCTGATGTTTGCTGAATTTCTCCTCGGAAGCTTTGAACTTCTCCTCGAAAGATCTTTGAACTTCTCACCGGAAGTTATCTGATCTCCTTGTCGGAAGTTCTCTGAACCTCTCATTGGCAGTTTTCTGAACTTCTCCTTGAAAGTCCTCTGGGCCCTTATTACGATTGTCACTTCACGGTGAAAACAAAGTGAAGTGACAACTTGCCACTCACGGTGTAGTGATTGCCGTGTAAATCAAATGGGAATCACTTCACCGTGAGTGATAAATTGTCACTTCACCGTGAAGTGTCGTCGATAATAAGGGGCCTGGACTTCTTGCTGGAAGTACTGTGAACTTCTCATCGGAAGTTTTGCAAACTTCTCCTAGGAAGTTCACTGAACGTACTATGAATATCTTGTCAGAAGTACTAAGAGCTTCTTGTCGGAAATTCTCTGAATTCCTAATTAGAAGTTGTAGTAAGAAAATCTAGGAATTTCTCATCGGAAGTTCTCTGGACTTCTCATCGGAAAATCTCTGAAAATATTTTTGGAAGTTCTCGGAACCTCTTGTCGGCAGTTCATGTTTTCAAAGGAAGTACTCTGAACTTTTTGTTGGAACTTCAGGGAATTTCTGTGAAATTTTCATCATAAGTTTTGTTTACTTCTTATCACAAGTTCTGTGGACCTCCCCTCGGATCTCCAGGGAATTTAAATGAAGTTCTTTGAACTTGTCGGAACTTCTCTTTAGATCGCTGAACTTATCGTCGGAAGTACATACGCTGAATCTCTCGACGAAAGTTATCTAAACTTCTCGATGGAAGTTCCAAGAAGTTCTGTGAACTTTTTGTCGGAAATTCTCTGACCTTCTCGTTGGAAGTTCTTTGAACTTCTGGTTGGAAGGTCTGAGAACCTCTTATTGGAAGTTCTCTAAACTTGCCGACGGAACTTCACTGTAAGTTTCTAAGTTCAGAGAACTTTAATGATGTTCTATCAATTTTAGGGAAATTCAATGAAGTTCTCTGAATTTTTCGCTGGATGTTCTGGAAAGTTCAATGAACATCTCGTCGGAAATTCACTGAACTTGTCAGAAGATCTTTGAACTGCTCGACAGAAATACTCTGAATTTCTCGTCGGAATTTCCCGGGATTTTAATAAAGTTCTGTGGACTTCAGGGAAATGCAGTGAAACTTCAGGGAAGTTCTGAGAAAAGTTTTTTTCAAAAGTACTATGAGCTTCTTATCAGAAGTTCTCTGAACCTCTCGTCGGAAGTTCTCTAATCTTTTCGTAGGAAATTCAAGAAAGTTCTCTGAGCTTCTCGTTGGAAATTCCCTGATCTTCTCGTTGGAAGATCTCTGAACTTCTATCGGAAGTTCTCTGAACCTCTCGTCGGAAGTTCTCTAAACTTTTCGTTGGAACCTCAAGGAAGTTCTGTGAACTTCTCGTCGGAAGATCTCTGAAATTCTCGTAGGATTGTTAGTTAGGTGACTTAAGAGTGATGACAAGCCTGCAAGCCTGTTCGATTAATAAGATGAAGATGCTCTATAAATGACGATACATGTCGGAACTCTGATGGTCCGGGAGAGTTTGAAGATCCTGGCATAAATGCTCCATCTAGGTTATTCATAGAAAATCTCCCTTTTATAAATGGAACAGTCCTGTATTGTCAGGTGGCGCCTCTCCTGCGTCCTCTTCAACGAGACCCCAGCGATGTGCCGACCAGTCCAAAAGAGTCCACGGAAAACACTAACAAGTCCGATATCACATTCGCGATTCGTCGGATTACTGACTGACGATGAGAAGTGTGATCCTTGATCATCAATCCGCAGTACAGCATCTCCGAAATAACCTTCATACACGACGTTACAATCCTGCCTCAGAAATTTCGTGTTGCATCCTTCGCCCAGCAACCTAAATCACTGCAATGTCTACAGGTATATGGGTTCTACATCAAGGTCTTGCAAGGTGGAGAAATATCGCATCTTCCAGGCAAAAATCCTCTACTTGGGACATAGGTGAAGCTACACTCTATCACTCCATCACCGACCATGATTTTCGAGCTGAGATCGTTGTTGGGGGTCTTTATCTACTAGGGCATCCTCCGGGCAAGCTATATTGAAGAAGGAATCGAAGTGACAGTGGAATTCCAATTACCAGCGGTCCTTCGATCAATTAAAGTAAGTTGGGTCAATTTTGATTTCCAGCTTCGAGACAGCGAAGTATCTCCATGGGAAACTCATCAAGAACTTTCGAAGAGCTTTTCTAGTACCATGTTGGCAGATATATGCCTTTCTTCCTCATTCAGTTATGCAGTTGCATACTTGTGAAAATGAATACCAGGCCACTTACGGTACTTGCACAACCGAAGCAGTGCAGCCCTGAAGGAGGCATTCACTGGACTTTCCCTGAACCTTTTCCGGATATACCTGAGCTACCCTTAGAGGTTCCATTAGCTTTCAAGGAGGTTTTTGGACAATTTCCTTGATCTTATCAAGGTAAATTTGTAAGGATGGATTACAATTTACCTTTTGAAGATCAGTGAAATTGGACCTAAAAGGGTGACCACGATAAAAATGGGTCACACAAACAGCCCGAATAATTTTTATAAAGATCTGAGAGGTGCTTTTCCCCAAGTTACAGTGGCATAACAACATTTTATCTAATAAGGAAAAATGTACATTGTCTCAAATATGAAATCAGCGATTATGCAAGCTAATTCCATCTTCATTATTGCTATTGGCTAAGGGGGGTGGGAGGCTCCATATTTTTTTAGGGAAAATATTATATTACAAAATATAGTGGAGTTGATCAGAAATGACAGTCCAAAAATTCGGTTAAATGTAAACCCAAAAAAAAATGCTCAGCTAAAACATTAATTTCTGTAGCACCATAAAGCTGTGCAATCTATGAACCAATTTAAAATGAAATGACAAAAAATAGTATATATCAAATGAACATTTCTGATATTTTTTTTATACTAAAAACAGTTCGAATCTTCACCGAAAAATTCAAGTTATTTGATGTCACAGTTGAAAAGATACGGCTGTTTTTGTGTGGCCCATTTTTATCGTAGACACCCTTTAGATGTATACTATTTTGATTTTATTTTTTTTTATTTTCACTGATCTTGTAAATAATCCTAAATTTTAAACGAAAGCTTAGCAACTTAGCTAACTGATGAATTTCAGTGCACATATAGACACTCGGCTGTTATTCTACGCGCACAGTGTGTACTACAATCAGGACAGGTATGTATGTATATGTATCTATGTCAGTTTTGCAATGACTGCAGCGTGGCGTGGCATGGCATGGCATGAGTTAGTATGGGGGTTAAGTAGTATTTTCCTTTAAACAAATCCGTACTATACAAGCGGATCGGTCGCCGGCTGGGCGACGACCGTTTCCTTGATTTTGCGTTTGTTTAAGTTTTTTTTTTTATTCATTCATAAGAAAATATCTGCAGTTTGTTCGAGAAAATTTACAGCTTAAAAGTTAATTTCATTTGTTTTGTTTTTGGTTTTTGGTTTGGTTTCGATTTTCTTTTTCTTTGTTGTTGTCCCCTAAAGAGAGAGATTTGTTATCTAAAAATATGGTTCATAGACTTTTTTGTTTTGTTTAAAGACTTGTTTTGTTCGATTTCACTACTCCGTTAGTTTAGATTTATTTTTTTAGTTTTTGCCTCTGGTTTTGTATAAACTTATGTATAGCATCTCTAAAGTTTCTTTTGTTAGATTTATTTTTTTTTATACAAAGATTCAAATATACAAGATAAGAATAGTTTACAGTTGATTTCAGTTTACTTCTTTGTTTAGCTAAAACTTAACAGTAGATGATGCTTGTGGAGCATTCAAATAAACAGTTTTGTATAAAAATATGCACTTCATGTATAGGAAACAAAACGATAGTTTCTAAATGTTTGTGTATTGGTTTTGTGCTGTTTTCACTTACTGGTAGTGGTGAGTTTCACACGTCTGGCTGGGATTGACTACGCGTTAGTTTATGTTTGTATATTTTCTGTATAGGTTTCTCTACTAGTTTATCTGCTTAAGGTGTAATATGACACGTATGAATCGGATTTACACATATGTTGTTGGTTTATCAGGTGAAAGGCATTGTTTTACTCGCGTGAGATTAAATTCTAGAGGTTAGTTTTCCGTACAAAATTAGCGGTCATTTTATTTTAGTTTTACAGATTACCTAATCCAAAAATGATCGATCATGAAAGCAAGATTCATGGTTTTGTCCAATGACGAGTTACTGGCAAAGGTTGCCTTGTCTGTAGTTTTACTGTTTGGTTATGTTTACTTTTTCAAAACTATCGAATGATCCTCTTTAAACGTTATGTGTGATTGACAAAATGGTTTTCACTAGTGTCTACTTCTACGGTTACTTTTTGATTTACTTAGCCTACTACGCGAGCCTTTTGTTTTCGTACAAATTCCATGGCATTCTTGTCATTGACGCGGCCTTCCAAAATCAGTAAAATTGGGTGACCTGCGAGAAAAAATAAAATAAAATTGTTACGATTCGCCGTTAGTTGAATTAACCATGTAACATACTCTTATCCTTCATTTCCAACAGCGGCAGACTGATCTGCGTCACACAGTCTAAGTTCTCGATGTTCATGTTGAATGTACTGGCCACACCGGGAATGGTGTTCAACGCTACGAAAGCTTCCCCGGCAAAATCATTCGCCGTCAGCACATCGTGGTCCATCACAGTGAACACGATCATGGCCGCTTCCGCTTGCAGTTGATCCGGTGTGACGGAAAACTCGAAACATTCGTCGAATACGGGATTGAGCGTTTTCTGGAAAGAGGAGAAAATTACCCATGTATGACGAAACGCAGCATGCTTTGGTTCAGTGTTGGCAAAATCATCAATCAAATGATATTTTTCCGCTTTATATTGGAACAAAATATTAGGCTGGATATTGATTTTACAAGCTCCTATGATATTACGAGACTATTCACAGCATGCAAAAATGAAGCTGAGAGTTGACTCGAGACAAAAATGATTCCATTGCACATCGTTTGCTCTCTTCTCTCTTCACCGATGGCAGCCATGAAACGAAACTACTGCTGTTAGCAGTGACGGTAGTTTCGGGTCGCATTCGGGTGTAAAGCAAAAATGATGAAACTCAAACTCACCACGCTTTGGTTAGAATTGTAGCTGGTGCGTTTTGTTGGCTTGATATTCATAGTTACGGTGAAATAGCTTGTAATATCATCCGCAGTTGCTTGCTTGTTGATTTGTGTCTACGAAAATCAAGCGTGTTCATGGTCAAAATGCACGTTCATTGAAAGTTCACCCGCGGAATTTTACCCAACAATCCCCGGCAAGCTATTTTTCAAGTTAACCAGGAAAATTTCTACGAAATTACAACACCGCACCGGCACTGACAGAATTGGTAATTGAATTTTCAATTCACGATAAATTAGGCAAGGTTAATAATACTGGTCGCGCTTTCCCGTTTACCAACCTGTTTCAAATTTCAATTGAAATTTGAGTGTGGAACAACACCAGCGACGATGACGGTGGTGGTGATGGTGGTTTTAATACCATTAAAGGGGGAAAGTGCCCGTTTAGCTGGTTGTTTTGGCACAGTTGGTGTTTCGGTGAATATGGGATTATGGGGGTGCTGCTGATGGTGTAAAATACAAACGCGGATGAATTAGGCAGATGTTAACGGATGGTTTGGGGTGAAAGGCGGACGAGAGAGAAATAGTTACATTTGAATGACTATCGAGGGAGGCTATGGGTTCGGACCCATCATGCATGTGTTATATGGCAAGCAAAGCTTGCTTTGATGCATAAATTAGTTTTATGCTTAGTGAGCAGTTAAAAGGCCGAGGTAATTGGTTTTGCGTGAAACCTGGTGAAACGGGAGAAAGGTTGCATATTTTTTTGTAGTTTGTTGGATAACAAATTTAGTAGTAGAATTTAGTTAAATGCGCTGGCTTTTGAATTTACACACTTAGAAATTCTTAACTTTCAACAGCTGATCGTTCGGTAAAACTTTGATAATCAATTCAAAAGCTATTTCACTAAATTTAATTTTCAAAACTCTATCAGTCTTGCCTATTAACGGGTTCATTATTAATTTAAACTTCTAGTAATCCTATGACCATCAGAAAAGCGAGTTTCTGGTAACCATAGTAGCTGTTTTGTTTTGATTCTGCGTTTCATTTCACTTTACTCCATACCATGTGCTAAATGACGTTTGAGAAAATTTCCACGGGCTATCCAATCCATCGCCAGGATATCAAAACAGAAAGCCAACGCAGTTAGGACCTTTCGAAATAATCGTCAAACCGTGATAGCCTTTTGGGGAAAAAAAACAACAACAAACAAACAACACCTACCTTATGCACATTGGTCTGCTGTTCGGAGCAGTGCGAGAACAGCCTCCGCGGCAGCAGTTCGATGATCACAAACGGATCGCTGAAGCCGTTCGGATCCAGCGGAATGACGTCCTTTGCGTGCAGCACCTCGACGCTCAGCGAGTCGTGATTGAAGTACGCCTTTACCGACAGCGAGCCCAGCGAGGTCGGCCCCAGTGTGTTCAGCTGTTCCTGCAGTCTCTGCAGGTAGAACAGATCGATCAGCTGCTCCGTATCGGTCTTGTGATACTGCAGCCGTTGAGCAACTCGCCAGTACAGATCGTTGTGTAGGGTCTCCGGTGTCAGCCCCAAGCCGTCGGCGTTGAAGAAATCTCCGAGCAGCTGCAACGCCCCGTACATGCGATCGTGAAAGTTACTAGGCTTGTCGCCTTCGCCACCGGCATCCATCTGCTTGGCAAACTCCGTCAGAACGTTGTTCCAAATCTGAGTCATTGCACGGTAGAAGTTTTGCGTCAGCAGTGTTATGTTCAGTGTTGCCAGGTGGGAATCCAGGTATTCGAGGAGGGGCATCACGGCTTGAGTGGCGGGTAGGGAGTCCGGTGACCAAGCAAGATGGAAAACGGCCTTCTGCAGCGGACTTTGCATCGAAGCAGTTAGTTTGTTGAGCACCCGATCCGCTTTGTTCTCCAGTTGAGCAATCGTATTTTCCAATAGGTTTTCTGCATTCTCCGAAAGGTGGTGCGTGGTGGGGTGGAACTCGACCAGAGCACGTCGAACGTATTCCAAGTTGTTGAGGATGACACACATTTCGTCAGCGGAACGTGGTGGTCCCGATTTATCGTAGTACCCACTCTCCGTAAGATTCTGATGGAGCTGATCGGAATAAACGTTTGCCGTAGTGCATACCAGATCGATGATCAAAGCTTCGTAGTGCGCTCCCGAGCCTGGCTCTGGCCAGGCTAGGTTTTTCCAGAATTCCCTTATCTGGTAGAAGCACGAGGCTGTATCGATCGCTGACGTACTGTGTCGCACGATCCGTTCGCCTTCACAAAGCCTGTCTACATTGACGGCGGCCTTGATTCGTTGGATCGCTTTCGTTTTGCTGATGGAGATCCATCGCTGGACTGCGGGCTCGAACCATTCGTGAAAGTTTTGCAGACCGAGTGGTTTCTCCGGAGGCTGGGGGGTTACCGAGAGATGAGACTTCATGTTGTGAAATTGTTGCAGAGCAAAGTAGATCTCGAATGGCGCAATGTCCGGCTCCCGGTCGTTGTCTAGGATGGTCCAGTGGTTGACGATAGAACCTGGTAGCTGACCGGATTCGATGCGATTGGAGACTTCCTCGGCAAGCTGGGGTCGGAAGGTAACAATTAGATACTTTGACGAGGCAAACAACAGATAGTCTTACCAAGGAGTCGAATTGTTTGTACACAATGCTGAAGTACTGTATTCCATTGGTCCTAGAAGGAACAGGATTAAGACGGTTCAGAAAGATCTCAAAATCAGGTGATAGCGGTACTTACGAATCAAAAAGTGTGTGGTAGCACATCTGCCCAAGCTGCAGATCCGCTACCAGTATCGTAGTGTAGTGTACCAGTGGGTTGGGTGAACGCGTAGCTTCCCGTAGTTGCGCCTGGGACCAAGTGATCGATCCCTTTCTAAGCGCCCCGACGATTTCCCCTCGAACGCCTTTGCTGAAGGGGCTTACCTGACGGAAGGCTCGCATCGAACCCAACAGACCCAGACATCGCAGTAGGAACTCTAACCGAACGAGTGAAGGTTGATGCTTTGCTGGGAACACTTCCCGGTGGCGGCGCATGTGGCTGAGCGATCGTTCAACGAAACCGTTTAGAGCGTCGGCAAGCCACTGTTCCAGTTCCCGGGTCAGTGGTTCGTTGCTGTAGTTGTTAATCCACAGCTTGTCGACTTCGATCAGCTGCCGGTGGATGAATTTGGTGTCCAGAGGTTTCTTGCGATTGATTCGAATGATAGCTACCAATCTATGGAGAAAGTGAAGATAGTGGGGTTTACGGTAAACAGTGGAAGGGTTGAATGGATCTTACTTCGCTAATGAGATTTGCATGTCGGACAGATCGCTCTGTACTGCTATCTGATGTAGAATAGTGAGTGATGGTCCTGCCAGTTCACCGTTCCACTTCCACGCCGGTTCGTGAGTGTTGAGCTCGTGCATCATGAAGATCGTTTGTAGCCGTTCGAACTTCTTCACCTCTAGGGTGCTGTCCTCCTCGGAGTTGCCCCGATCCTCTCGGGTCGAGAGCCACAGCTTTAGCCGAATGCGGCCCTGTACAGAGCTACGACTACTGCGTGCTTCCAGCTTGAACCAACCCTCCAAACCGGTTGAAGGAATATCCTGTGGAATGAGATGTCCGATTAAGTTTGACCGGCTCGCGATTAGTATCACCTTATTTGTTACTTACACAGACTGGAACATTGACACAACCCAAGAAGTCGTCCTGCGAACCCTGACGTGCCGATTGGCACACTTGTTTGAAAAATCTACCTAATCCTCTAACCCCTCTAACTTCGTTCAGTCGTGACACAGCATCTAGCACGCTACTTTCGTCGTCGTGGTCCCAAATGTCTAGGTGCAGAATGTCCGAGTGGATGTCGTCTATGTCACTGCAAATTGAAGAAAATGTGCTGTTTAGAACTTGAAGCACCCATCGGGGTCATCTCTCGGTGTAACTCACAATTTAAACTTTTCGTTCCACTTCGGACACAGTGTGTGTGGTTTGACGGAGGTCGCCCGGATGAACTTGGCCGGTACGGGTCCCACCGAGTCCCGCTGTTGGCGGCCGTCCTTGCGCTTGAAGCTCAACCGAAAGCTGTGATGTTTGCGGAGTTTCCCGTGCTCGGGCGAGTCCAAGCTGTCCATCCCGGTGTCGGAGAGGGTCCGCGGGGTCATCGGAGGCTGCGGCGAAGGTGGTGGAGGGGTGCCCGATGGCTGAATTCCTAGCATACAGTACGGGTCACTGAAACCTGTGAAATAGCCAGAAAATAGGCAAAATTAATGCATGCACGAGTAATCGAGGTGGCTGCGATTCTGATTCCATCCCATCGCAGTAGGTTAACAACGAAATTGTGCAGAGTAATATAATTGTGATTTCAACCAGTTTTCAGAACGTAAAAGGAACGAACAAACTTTCGATGAAACTCTTCTTTCACTTAGCGGTTGCGGTGGGAAAAATAGCTCATTATTTAAGTCCCACCTGTTCCGTGACTTAATTAACCGTGATAACGACTATGATGTTATGAAACTTTTTTTTTCTGGGAAAATTGCGACAAATCTCTCCCCGGGGGAAGCCATTTGTCATTGTCAAGTTTTTGATCTAACGACGAGTCTATTTTCAAGCTGTTCCGACGATCATGGTTCGGTCACCGGCTATAATTGGCTCATTTTTGGGTGAACCAAACTTCGCCACCGTTGCTGCCGTAACCCATCGAGCGTCAAAATATTAAAAATCACTTTGTAAAAGTTTTCCGCATGAAACAATGTCCAGGCTACTTTCCGGTTTCAGGTTTTTTTTCCGAGATGGGGAAAAGCTTAAAGTGGAATGCTAATTTGGACCCACCCTCAGTCGCCTTCCTTTTGGCTAAATTACCCGCCTTCACCGAACTATGAATGTTACAGCGTCGGACTGTGTCATTGTCTCCGGTTGAGAAGGGAAACGTAGGTTATCGGGCTTCTGAAAAATTTAGATTGATGATGGACACTTACTTGCGCTTCCCGGTTTTGGGTTTAACGAGTGAACGAGGATTGCAAAAATAAAATAAAAAAATGAAAATCATAAAAAATCTGACGGACGTTGTCCCTTTGTTTTAAGATTCTCGGGAAAGGAAATTCCATTAGCTGATGAACGAAGAGCGAGGGAATTTGTTCTGTCTGGCTTTTCCCAGTGTCTCTACATCAGGTTTGCCATTTTGGAAACGTCCGGAAGCGGTTGATTATTGAGGAGAAATTGACATCGGAAACTTGGTTAATGGAGACGCTTGGTTGATTGGTTTGTAGACTTCAGCTAAGATCTCGAAGATCTACGGGCTCAACAAAGTATTATACGATATCCCCGTATATTTTGCACTGCAAATCATTCTGGAGTGTTGATTTTGATAACGGGCTTAATTTTTGACATTGCCACTGAAAGAATGGCCTCTCACATAAAACTTCGTAAACAAATTATTCTCCTGAAAGATTGACGGCTCCACGGATTTATTTTGCTTTATTCATTTATGTTCGTTACAAATTTAGTTGATAACTGAGACTGCACTTAGAGTGATGCAAAATTTAAAATTATCGCTACACAATACTTAAACGATTCCAAATCGAATCCTGACTAACCTCTCAAAATTTGAACCCATTTGGTGAGAAACTGAGATGGCACAAACCATTTGAAGTTTGTATGGGAATTACTATGGTAAAACCAAGATTTTTGTTCATGTCTATCTAATAATTCACCATATCGGTCTGCTTCAAAAGCTTTCAACTGTACTTATAGGAAATTTTCCCAGCTACAACTTTGCTCAAGACCACTTTTTGATTAAATGCAAGGATCGAAATTTATCAATGGTTCAATGCGCTGATGCCTTATGATCATGCTCAATCAACTGCTCAGCAGGCAACATTGGTGTTTCTGGGGCGTTGAATAGGACACAACAATCATGGCTACTATGTCACACTGCAAAATACAGTGTTGCCTACAGAGCAGCTGCTTGATCATGTCGTAAGTTTACCAATCTCTTAAATAATTAATAACTTTTTCCTGTCTCGCTTTACATAGAAACGATCTTCAGCAAAGTTGTAGCTGAGAATATTTTCTTTAAGAATGGCTATCGAACTGTTTCGCAGCTCAATATGAAAAAAGACTAGAAGGCAATGAACATAAAGTTGAGATTTCCCATAGTAATTTACATGTAAACTTCAAATGGCTTGTGCGAAGTCTGTTCCTAACCAAATGAGTTGTAACTTTGGGAGGCTAATCAGGACCCGATTTGAAACCATTTAAGCAGTGTGGAGCGAAAAATTCAAATTTTGCATCAGTCTACTGCACATGTTTGTCACTGACAATCGACATGATTTCCCTTGAAGATGATCTTTAACTCGAGTGAGTGACGAAAGTTGTTTTGTCATTATCGCTGTCGATATTTTGCAACAATGTCTTACGTGACGTCCTGATTTACTGTACGGATTCGTAGAGCTTCGTGGGATCTCATCACCTTTTCCCCTATCCATGACTGTAACCTTCTTTTGCAACATAGAAAGGCTTCTTGACTTCCAGTTCAGAATCATTTTCTCTGACTTTAAAAAAGAACCAACCTCGTATTTAAACTCAGTAAAATGTCACCGCAAAGTCCACCACATACAAACCCTTTCACCGGTCGTGGTGGTGGGGCAATCATTCTCCTTGTCTTCGTCATCCGGCGGCGGTGACGGTCGGTGTTCAACTTCAAAAAGCAACCTGACAACCTTTTTTCCAACCTCCGGCCAGGTTGTGATTTTTCTCGATTGAGGCAGAACAAGCAAGACGGGTAATGAAACCATATCCCGAAGCCAAATCGCTATAATCAAAGATGCCGACCGGCCAAAAGACCAACCAACCAACCAACAAACGTGCAACAAACGTGGCGAGAGTTCTATCTAGATAGATGATGCGAGGTAAGGTCCTTAGTAAGAACGAGTTTCCAATGATGAAAAATTGCCCATCATCAGGGGGGTGGCTGGGAGGCCGGTCGGTTCATCCTGGCCGTTTCCCTTTCAACCGTTTTCGTTGGCGGCCTGGGAGAATTTCAACACGTTAGATTGCTTGAACTTATTTTCTTCCGTGCCACTTTGAGGTGCTGAGTGGGTTGGTGTCCCCGCCGTCAATCGACTGAAAGAGGATAACAATCGAGCGTCAATTGTTTACAGACTTTATATCGACGCTCTTGACTGGATTTTTTCTCAATCGGTGCACTGGAGTTGGAAGTCATTTGTGCTATTGTCTTCTCTTCTTGCTCGGTGGGTCGTCTTGAGTTGTTTTTTTTTCTTGATCCTGTTTTTCAGCACCCTCTTATTTGCTGGAGTTCAAGACAATTGCGCATACAGCAACCCCTCCATATATACAGAGGGTGGTACCGTCCACCCACCGCTGTTTCTCGGTTGTCCTTCAACCAATTACGCTGATATTTTGTATGTGATTAGTGTCAACCATACACTAGTTATCTACAGATATTCTGCTCGATTGGTTGAAGGGCAGCCGAGAAATAGCGGTACTACCCGCCGCATAAATAGAAGGGTTACTGTAATGTAGCTTCACGGCTCCACCGAAGAAGAGGATAGGTATACATATTAAACGAGACTATTGCGAGGCTGAAAACAGATTTAGAATGATTGCTTTTGGGGCTCGATGTTTGATGGGCCGTAAAAAACCAAGCGTCTCCTCTCCGCCGTACTGAACCGGGGGAGGCGCGTGTTCGTTTAATTTATGATAATGGCACTTCGATGCTCCGTGATGTTTGGTTGTCATAGGCGTGCACGCTCAATCTAAGGGAAAAATAAGAGCACGCAACTCATGGGCAGCACGGGTTACCTGGGGGAAAATGAAGACCAGATGTCCCAGCAAAGTGAAAGGAATGAGTCGCCTAGTGATCTGCGGGATGCAATTAAGGCGCTTTTGGAAACGCAGCAGGCAATGCTGGATCGACAAAACCAGCCACCGCAGCAGCCGGCAGCGGGTGGTCAGGTGTGGAATCAGGATCCCCAAGCGAATGTGAAACTACCGCAACTAAACATTCCCATTTTCCTAGGAGAGCGAACGGCGTGGAATTCGTTTAAGGATTTGTTTCTCAGCACGATCCACAACAGGCAGGATCTGAAAGCTTCCGTCAAGATGCAGTATTTGTTTTCCTATTTGGACGGTGAAGCAAACCGGATGGTGAATTCCTTCCCAATCAGCGACGCAAACTACAACGAAGCGTGGGAAACACTCGTGACGCACTACGATAAGAAAAAATACATGGTGTTTGCCGTCGTTCGTGAGTTCGTTGATCAGCCACCAACGCAAGCGGATTGAAGAAACTGGTGGCTACTTCTGATGATACCATCCGACAGCTAAAAGCTCTTGGCAACGAGTACGAAACACGGGATCCTTGGCTCATCCATCTGTTGCTTGAGAAGGTGGACCGAGAGACGCGCTCACTGTGGGCGCAGAAAATCATTGACGAAGAAAATCCGAAGTTCGCAGATTTCATCGAGTTCCTGCAAAAACGCTGCGATGCTCTGGAAACTTGTTCGGCGTTTTATAGGAAGCTGGGAGAACCTGCGAAGAAGGAGATTTCGAAGGCAACTGGAGCCGAGAAGAAGTTTCAAGCCTTTCATGCTGGTGCTGCACATGTGTCGTGTGCGAAGTGCAGCATGGATCACCCAACTTACCACTGCGAACAATTCAAGGCCATGGATGTGGCGGCGCGTAGGGAATTGGCACTTAAGTCGAAACTGTGCTTCAATTGCCTGCGTCCATCCCACACAGCGAAGCGGTGTCAGTCGAAGTCGGTATGTCGCACTTCACAGTGTAACCAACGGCACCATACAATGCTATGCCAGCGGGAAGTCAAGAAACCGGATGAAAAGCAGGAAGATGGTCAAGGAAGTTCGCAACCAGAACCGGAATTGGAGGTCGCATCGGTCTCTACCAACGTAGCGCAGACGGTGGCCGAAAACCACGGACCGTTTGCATTCGCACTGCTACCAACGGTGGTGGCAAAACTTCAAGGAGGTGATGGGAAGCTAGACGACGTAAGAATGCTAATTGATTGTGGTTCCCAGGCATCTCTCATCACGACAGCGTGTGCCAACCGCCTTGGGTTGAGGCGTAGCAACGCTTCTTTGGAGATCACTGGTGTCAGCGGTGAAGTCGTCGGTACCACTGCCGGCATTGTCACGCTGGTGATTTCATCGCGTTTTAACGAGGAAATTAAACTCACCACTCAAGCTTTTGTTCTTGGAA